AATCTTTTGTAAAAATAAAAACATCATGAAACTCAGTTTTCAAATAGGAGCACAAATGGCCCAACTGTATCAATGCTAACGACCTGCGTTGAAAATAAGTCTCATGATATTTTTTTCACATCTAACCGAGTTAGTTTTGCAGCAATTTGCACCAGTTTAAATGACTAATATACTTGTAGTGGAAAAATCTTTTCAGAATTTTTTTTTCATGGCGATGAAGGTTTTTCATTAGTGGGACTGAAATTAGCACATTTTATTAAAATCCCTCAAAGCTGAAATTTCTTTATAAATTTCAAGTGAAAATTAAAATATTCTCTCGAAATTAAAAAAAAAAAATCATTGAGAAAGTAATCTTTTTTTCAATCCGTAATCTTCTCCACGAGTTCCAAGTTTGTTTAATGAATTAAATTTAATAAAATGAAATATTTCCACCAATTTATTTTTTTGCCGTCAAAATTTTTAACAAAACAAGTAAAAAAACTTTCTGTTTTTCACTTCCCCTTTTCACTATCAATCTTGGGAATTTCTGAAAACGAGAAAATATCCACCCCATTTGGCACGCGGCTTGAGCCGTAATTGGCAATGAAAATTTAACGCAGCTGCTCGTCGCGCGTTCCAGCTGGGTGGCTGCAAAATTAAAGGACGAGCTGCTGCTGCTGCCTGATTTAAATATTCATCCGACGACTCGAGCCCGTTTTGATGTCTGGTTGTTGCTCTGTCGCCGTCATGTGCAGCTCAGTCAGACGACGACAGCGCAGTAAAAAGCATTGTTTCGAGTTAATTTCCGGCATTAAGATGCCGCTCAGGATCGCGAGCGCCGCCGCCGTCGCGCTCAATGATTCACAACGCGCTCCCTGCTAATCATAAAGAGGGATTAACGCCGTGTCTGCTTAAATCCTAAACAAATACGGCCTGCGCTGGCAAACAACGAATCTGCTTCAGGGCTTTGCCCCGGCTGTGTGATCGGCATTAGCAAAATGTTGCTTTTTTGACTGTTCAGAATCAAGCAGGTTTAGTTTTGTTTTATTGGATAATTAAATAATAAATCAATTCTATAATTTATATTAGCTACCTTTAAACTTGATGGAAATTGAAATTTTTCATAAAGGGAAAATTTAAGTGCGATTTTTTTTATACAAAATTCGTTGGCTTTTTAAAGACAAAAGTATAAAAAGCATAATATTTTAACTAAATATTTTCTTTCAAATTTAAATGATAATAAAATTGAAGAATATTTTGTTTCCGTTAAAAAAAATTAACACATTTTTGACTTTCTTATAATGGATTACATTATTCAAAGGACGAAAAAAAAAATTTTTCTCAAATTTATATGAAAAAATCATATTTTCATGATGTTCATTAAAAAATTAATATTCAAATTGATTCAAAGCTTTTCAAATTGCTAAATCCCTTATGAAGGTAATTTTTAAATGAATTGAGGTGATAATTTTCAAAGTAACAAATTATTTCCAAATTGATCTGTCTTTGAGGGACATTATTGAATTTTGAATTTTATCAAAAAATTTATGTATGATTCTTTGTCACAGAGAGCCAACCAGCTATGAAAATTACTGTCGCTTTATTTAATTCTATAGACGCAATACCAAGTCTCATATATAAATTATTTTAAGAAGTAAATTTAAAAAACAAAATAATAATAATATTAAAAACTGATTATTACAACGTTATTCTTTGCAGTAAATTAAAAAAAAAATTAAAATGAAAGCAAATTAATAAATATTACTTAAAAACTTTCAAAATATGAAATTTTAAATTGTATTTTTACTTATTGTTATAAAATTATATAATTAATTAATTATATATTTATTAAAAAATTTTTAAAACTCATATAAAAAATATAAAGTTTTTGTTTTGCCAATTGCTACAGCATGTCAGAGCTTTCATCAATTTATTAGCTCCACTGTTTGTAAATCAAACGTCAGACGAAATTATCGTTCTGCGAAATTGTTTACAGAGTCTGAAGCACGTTGCAATTTGGGCAAAAGGCGCTTAATTTGATAGACGGGTGGCTGCGAACGCAAGATGTAGCTTTTCCGTAATAGGAAATCGGCCGTTTCGCCGAAACGAAAAAGCGGCGCAGTCTCGTCCGGAGAAAATCCAGCAGACGTCTGTGTAAATTAACTCGTGATTCCCGGCGTTTAGGGCTCGCTAGCGGAGAAGTGCATAAACTTTTATAGAGGAGCGAGAGCCGGTCTATCGCTGGCTTGTGCGTGCCTTCGCAAACGGCAGTAAAAAATTGATTTTATGAAGGTGTTCCTCGCGCGGCGCGCCTGTTCACATCATATTACGCGGCGGCCCCAGTCTGATACTTTACCAGAGCAAAAAAAGCCTTTTTAGCTTTTAGGGGTGTAAGTGCCGCTGATACGAGAGAGGAGCGCCTCTAATGACACACCCGAATTATGTATGTCCCACTATGGCCGAAATTAGTTTTCCCCGCGGACGAGATTTTCCGCATTTTTTTCCCGACGCGGCGCCCCCGCCGGGAATATGAGATAGCGATGGAGAGAGAGAAAGAAAGATGCGGACGCACACCGTAATTTTAATTGGGTCGTAAATTAAAGGCGATTTCGCACCTTGACTTGACATGCCGTTGAAAAAGAGCCGCCCTTGCTGTTTTCCGCGCAGCAATGTTAATTTCGTTTATGAAACAGCTGATTCAGCAAGAGAGAGGTGCGCAGATCCAGAATACAATGTTTGTTCGAAAGAGGAAATATTGCTTTTTGATCAATACTCGGAAATTTAATATCGAAATTGTGCCTGTCGGAGAATTGCGATGAAATTCACTAGCGAAAAAGTATTTTCCCCTTTTTTATTGCGAACTGACGCGGCTCCTGTTTTTTTAGAGGAATTTTTCATTATGACATACCCCTTTTACTTTGTAATACGCAAAATAGCTTCAGCCTGCCGTAAAATAAAAAAATGTTCAAACAGATTGCGTCTCTGAGAACATTGTTTGCGAATCAAGATATTTTATACAAATATTAATTTATTTATTTATTTCTTCTCCTCCTTTCAATACATTACATAACATCTTAATTGGCCTTATTGCTGCAGATTTAATCCATTTTGTTACGCTCATTGATGCAAATTTAATTAATTAGTTTAACGTATTTTCCAGCGTTTTTATTTACGCTGATTTTTATGCAATATTTCATGTCCCAATGATTGGCAAATCCTTTAATGATTGCTGTAATTTTGACAAAATTTAATTCAAAATAATTTAACGATTACTATATTGTCACAATTTGCATCTTGGACTGTTTCTTTAAATGTATAAATAAAATTAACGAACCCCCTTTGAAATTAATTAGTCGTGTTTTATCTCAACAAATCATTGCAATGTATTTCATTTTGCAAATAAAATCAACTTTAATTAAATTTAATGACACGCTTCATTTTATCTTTTGTAATTCGATTCATAAGTAGGGATGACAGGCACCTTTTGTGTTGGTTAAAGCAAATTTAGGAAAAGGAGAGTAATTGGCCGGAAATTCGCAGTTTGCCGGTCTCTTTTCGCGGGGGAGGAAAGCAGCTCAAATCGGATTACCTCTTTGACAAAATTCACCCTCTTCACACAATTGGGTGCGGTGAACAAGCTATTCCCTCTCCTGCTTTTCAAATACCTATACATAGAGTGCGATACGAAAAACTACATGAATGAAATTTTCCAAATTTCCCCGAGGCGCCACGAGCGTTTTAAATTGTTGCCGAGCCTCAAAGATGCGCGAGCGTATAATGAACGCCTTAGGTGATTTTTAATAATCTTGTCAGCCGAGCGCTCGCTCACGTTTCTTTGCAGACACCATAGCGATAAGTAGGGGCATCTCCCTTGTGTGCGAGCGTTCGTTCGAGGCGGAATTTATTTTTTGGAGAAATATTCGCCGCGCACCGAAATAAATTCGCGCAGATAAGGCAGCGAAAAGATGGCTTGAGAGTGCATTCTTCCCAAAAGCAGATAAGCGTCGTGCGAGAAAAAGCAGGAACAAGGGGATGCTCGTGTATTTCTGGCTTTAAGATTTTCCAAGAAGTGCTGGGGGAACAGGGAAGAATGTGTTGGTAAAATGAAAATAATTGTCGTTGCGGCGTTTGAATTGCTCCCGTCTTGAATATTTAAGATAAAGAATAAGTTTTTCAAAGTAAAATCTTATTATTATTATCTTCCCAAGCATTCTGTTGCAGGAGACAAGGGGGACTTTTACTTTACCTTGAATTTCTCAATTTTAATAGCAAATTTTTATTTTTTAACTAAATCACAGCTAAAAATTTATGTGAAACTGCATGCAAGATATGGAAATATGCACAATGATACAAAGACAATCTTTCAAAACGATTTTTAACAGGCTTTCATAATTAATATTTCAGATCAAAAGCCATCTAGTTTTGGTTTTAATTATACGGATTTTTATAAACTGATTTACTTTGTTTCAGAAAAAGAAAAAAAAATTCACTTTAAATCAAATTTATTGCGGAACTTTGCAGAATAAAGCGTCAAAATATTATTCACAAAAATTTATAATTTTCTGTGAATAAATCTGCTTCTTCTGAAGCCAAAACACTATTTACTGGAATATACCGATTGATATTACTTTTCTTGATTTTTTTACCATTATGCTTGCAATAATTCTAGATTTCAAAATTTTGATTGGATAAGAAAAGAATATTTTCAGTTACAAATAATTTTGATTAACATCCGCAGGATAAAACAATTTCAAATTAATTACAATCTACTTATTTTGAATATATCCAGAAGAGTCGCGTTTTGATACGTACGTGCAACATAAATAATGATGCACACGTGTAAATGCCAATTCAAGTCTGTTTTATGAAGGGTGTTTGTTCCCTCCTTGTTAAAAACTGCTTGGAGAAGCATAACGCCTTTTTTACGAGTCTATAACTGGGAAAAGTGGGGCGACTTTATTATATCGGTTCTCCATCCCGAGTGTTCTCATCTTACGATTCGTTATTGTTGTTTGTTGCAGTGCCTCCCGAGAGACCAGTGATATTCGATGCGAAAAGACGTGACCGGACCAAGATCCTGGAACCGTACAACGAGGGCAGCGACGTCCACCTTATTTGCGAAGTGTCTGGCGGTAAGTCTTGCTATAGGTCGTACACAAATTGCAACTCCAGACGCGTCTTGAGACCGATTTCGAGGAGAAATGAAATCGCACGTCGTCGCGCTCCATATCCAAGGGCCCATTGTTTCACTCCATTTGTGTGTCAAAATAGTATTTGGAGTCTCCTTCACACACTTCTTGACTCACGCTCTCCTCGTTTTTTTGTTCGCCCAAAGAAGAATCGACACCGCAAAAAGCTTTTCCATCGTTCAGAGATGCATATTTTATTCCTATGTAAAAGGAAAAAGAAAAGATGAAGCGATTCTTAGATTGAAAATTGCAAACATTCTTACAATTCTTTGCTATTGAGCATCCTATAGATTAAATAATATTTTTTATGGATTTCATAAATTAATTGTTCCTGCCAAATGGAATGAAGATTGAAAATTTAAAAATCTAACAAAGATGAGAGAAAGTATAAATTTTTATTTGGCTACTCAGCTTTAGTTGCTGTTAGATAAATTAATTTATCAAATTGGAAATAAAAATAATATTTAAATTTAATAGACTAAATAAAAAAATGAATAAAATCAATTCTATTTAATAAATTTATAAAATGCTAAAATTTCAATTAGATATTTAAAAATTATTAAAAATGTTTTTCCATTTCTATTAATTTATTAAGTCACAAGTTAAATTTTATGTTAAAATTTTCTAAATTTAACATTTCGACGATTAAATGAATTAAATTCTTGCTATTTATACTAAAATTTCACAATATTACAATGCAATAGAAATTATTAGAAACTTCAATAATGCAAAGAAGTCTTATTGAAAGCAAAAATCACAAAAATCATCATTCTCCTCATTGTACTTGAAAAAATAAAATGAATAAATGGATGTTTTTTCTCAATTAATTTAAAACAGAGAGCCACAATTTGAAAGCTCACTAACAGAATGAATTTTATGGCGAATCCAAATATTTTAGCTAATTTTATTTTCATTCAAAGAAGTTTTGGTCTCATAATTATTAAATTCATTCTAATTGGCCTAATTGGCTCCTAGCCTGATTGAATTGACAACAAAATTAATATTCAAATCGTTTAACGCAGTCAATAGCAATTTTTTATCCCAAAATGTAAAAGCTCTTTGAAAATTACTTTCGTTTTTCCTGTTAAATTTAATTGAACGATTTATGGCGTGACGCCAGCAGCAAAAAGCGTTTTCGAATCATAAACCCGGCTCGGTTCGTGTGCCAAGAGAACGGAAAAAAGCGTGATGCTTTACTATTGGCGCACCAGAACACACATAAATAAACAAGAGGCATTGCCAGTAGCGAATGTATGTAGTTGCAAAAGAGTGCCAGTAAATGGAGTCCCCTGCGATCGGGAACGCCACAGTGAAGTGAGCCGCGGGCACCTTAATGTAATTTACGTGGAAAATAGACTTTTCTCTTTCTCTGCAAAGCCCCTGGGCTGCTCAAGCAAAAGATTTAGGAGGCCGAGTAATGTGCGCCGAGGACGTCTGTTTTCCACTCAATTCCTACCTCGTCTCGACAATTTATGGCACAAAGGAAAAACGCAAAACGCATTGTTATATTTTATGAACCAATACAGAAAATATTCAATTAACGATTTTTAAATAAATGGAATTTTTTAAATTGAAAATCAATGAACAGATTTGTTTTCAAATTTATTTTCAAATATTTAAAGTTTGCATATAAATATTGACATGTTTGTTTATTCTACACGAATTTGATTGGAAATTCGGTTGATATGTTTATCTGATTTCCTGGATTTCATTCAAAGGCTTGAACCAATCCCAATGTTGATCTCTCTCGAAATGTTTGCTACTCTAGAAGCAATAGCCCCAGGCTAAATGCTTCTTCGTCTTTGAAGATTTGCAAACATTTGACCTTGCCAAGTTGCACGCAAGTCTAGTTTCGCCATCATATTCTAGAAAATAAGAGACACACAATCCTCCCACATCCAACTTCACCAAACTCCTCGGGGCGAGCAAACATCCTCAGATGTCAGGATATTAAATTTGTCCAACGAGGAAAGTTGAGAGAAGCAGGTCTTAATAGACTCTGCGTGTTTTCTTTCGTATTTGCAACGGGGTATAAAACGGAAATAAATTAGAGGTTTTGCATATGTGCGCATTTAGAGGAAATTTAATTAATAAATCACCAAGCTCTTCATTTAATCGTTTCAAGAGGAGCTACTAAAAATATAAAAATGTTCTAATTCTTGCAGTTTTTAATATTTCTTAAAATCTGCGAACTATTGGAAATTTCCGAAATGGAAACGAGACCCCATTTTTTTTTAGAAATTTCACATTAGATAAATTTTTAAAGGAAAATTAATGATTTTTTTATTGATTAATTTCAGGTCGGCCAAAGCCAGAATTAAAGTGGTTTCTTGAAAACACGCTCATCGATGATTCTTACGAGTACAAGCCAGGAGACGTCACCGTCAACAGGCTCGTCTTTCCAAACATCGGCCGCCAGCATCTCAATTCAAGACTGATTTGCCTCGCCAGCAACACAAATTTGAATGAACCGGCAATGAAGGCGGTCGTGCTTGACATCAATTGTGAGTTTTTATCCCTCTATAATAAACTCTAATTTTGTTGGAAATTTTAAAAAGGTTTTCAAACTTGGGGAAAAAATAATTCTCTATTATGGTTTTTCCCCCATGAAAACTGCTTTGAGTGATATATTTTGTACTTTATTAATAAGTATTTGCTTTTTTATTCAATAATAAACTGTTATGTTACAGTGAAACCAATTGCAGTCAATATTGTGACCAAAGAAAAGCACGTTTCTGCTGACAAAAGGTACGAGGTGGAGTGCAAAGCGTCAGGGTCGCGACCTGAGGCCGTCATTACTTGGTGGAAGGGGAGCAGGCAGATCAAGCGTATCACCAAAAATGTAAGTTTTTTTCTTATCAATTTAATTGCATGTTGTGTTAATTAAGTACAAAGATAAATTACTTTCATTTCATTAACGCTTAAGAATGTTTAAATCTGGTGAAAATTTAATAATAAAAAATATAAATTATTCATTTTATCAAATTTCAAATGAGGTTTACAAAGATTAATTATATTTTTTTTTAAATGTATTTCTTCATTTAAGAAAACTCTTACTAATATTACAATACATTATATTTGTAGATAAATATATTTTTATTAAATTTAATATCAAATAATTTATATAAAGCATGATCCACACCTAGAATGAATGTTTATATTGCTAATTCAGATTTGTGGAGGTCCATCCGAGTCTTAAATTAAATTAAATTCAATACATTTTAATGTGACATCATATATTGAGAAGGCAAAATTAATTGAAACTTTCGTAAAATGAATAAAAATTTTCAATTTAATATAAAATTGTTTTGAATTATAAATTTTTATATTGTTAATTATACAAAACCAAAGACTTTATCATTCAAATTATTGAAAATTTTTAAATAAAATATATAATTAATTTATAATATTGGTATGTAAGGTAGACTTGAAGCTCAATTTCAATTCAATGATATAATATAATTGTTATAGAAATTGCATGCGTAAGTCAAAACTCAAAACTGATGCGTTGGGATGAATTGAGAAATGTGTCAATAACCGCAGTGGCTTGTTATGAACGTGCAAGTAATCCGAGTGCGTCCCCGTTTGTCACAGTTCGCTGAAGACGGCAACCACACCATTAGCATCCTGACGTTCGTCCCCGGTATCGATGACGACGGCAAATACCTGACGTGCCGCGCTGAAAATCCCTCGATCCCCGAGTCCGCCCTCGAAGACAAGTGGAGACTTGACGTGCACTGTGAGTATCACATTTCAGCCTGCGGCACTGTTGCGGTTCCTGCCTGCGGTGCTCGATCTGCTCGCAATTCCACGGTTTATAAGGAACCGTGAAAAGTGCATGACCCTTGTTGAAAGATCAGTCATTTGCCAAACAAATATTTTGAAGCATCAAGCAAAATCGCTTTTAAAGTTCACAAGACAAGACTAAAAATGGTTAAATACTGTTTTTAATAAATTATTCCGGTAATAAAATAATCGCTAAAAGCACAGAATAGTTGCAAATTATATTTTTTTAACAATAAATATTTCAAATTATCTCTCAGTCTTGTCCTTCAATTGAAAGCTATTATACTATTCAGTTTAAAAAACCCATTCCATTTCTTGAAATAAATGTCGAAAAATCGCGTTTGGGATTTACAATGATTATATTTGCTTTAGTCTTAAAAAAAATCCATTCAATCTCCAATTTTTCCACCGACGACAATCGGGTACACGCGCGGAAAAGTTCAATTTGTGATACGCAATAAAGCTTTTCTATGTTCATCGCATACAACATTCAAGCCTCTCGCATCCAATATCTTGTGAAAACACGAAACAGAGTGGCCCTTTTTTTGCCACGTCTCCCACCTGCTGATCAATTCGTGCGGCGCCCCAAGGCTTATATCGATCTCCATCTCAACACAACTCACTTTTTCGTTGATGCAATTGGCAATTTCACAAAAAAAAATCGTTCAAAAAATTTTTGCATTATTTTTAGTTGGTAATTTCATTTAAAATTGTCGAAAATTTAAGTTTAATGAGCAATGCATTATGTTTTAATTACAAATATTAGCTATCAATACGCAATTAAAGTGGATTTTTTTAATTTGCTTCACTTCGGCCATGTTCTCAGGTTTTACAAATTATTTACTTGGTTACCAATGATTTAGTTGATTTTTTAAACTATTTTTAAGTAATAATTTGCCAAAAATTATTTTTCTCTTTTCATAGACAAGCACAAAATTTTAAAATGTAGTCAATATATTTTATTCTTAATTATCATATTAAATTGGTTTTTAGAACAGTCTAGTCTAGTTTTATCAGTCATTAAGATTTTATCAGCAACTTGAATATTTAATTTTTGAATAAATTTGCGTCAGTTACAACGTCTATGGGTGAGCTTCTATGTAGACGAGCATTTTTGAGTGTTAAAAGCACATCGGCAGCAGGGCAAACAAACACTCATCTCGCAGAGTGTTTGGCACGAATACATACCCGCCCTGAAGGGGTTGCTGAGTCGCTCGTCCCCTGCTTTGTCGCCTGGTGAAGCGAGAGCGCAGAAAAGATCACGCATCGCCACTCGAGCAGCTCCGCAGCCCCAGGTCGCGATAAGCGCACTCACATCATGCTAGTCTGCTCATGCGACACATAATGCACAGTTTCGGTTTTCCAAAATCAATGCCAGCGCTCTTTTATTTACCACATTTGTTGTTTATCTTCAAAGGCAATGATAAGATGATTGAATAAAATCTAAATGTTCATTTTAAATAGGACCGTTGGAAAAGGATTTTTTTTTAATATGTTTAAAAATTGCAAATGTTTTCTGGATTATAGCATAATCGTGTTATTTTTTGACCACAAGTATTTTGGACTTTCACAGGGAAAAAAATTAAAAATTTCAACATTATAAATTATTTTTTAAATTTCTTTTGCTGAATTTTTACTACTGGCAATATTAGTTACAAATTTTATTACAAACTAAAAAAAAAAACGATCTAATATCTAATCTAATTTTATTTATTTTTTGAAATTAAATGAAAATAATTTATAATCCTAACAATCGAAAAAGCGTTAAAAGTGAACCTTTTGAATATCTTTTTCTTTAAAATACTTTCTCAACTTCAGTCTAACATTGAAGCCTCAAAAATCATCATCTTCTTTAATTAATTGTCTTTTTTTTTCGGTACATTTGCATGCTATAAACAAAACATCAGAACCGTTTTGTCTTTGACAACAAGTTGTTTTCAAATCCACGAACGTTTTGATTGTCAAGACTTCTTCGTCGTAGAATAGTTTGGGTTGAAAATTACATAAGTTCCAAGCACTCTGTCTAACCTTTATGTTTTGCATTTTAATCCCTCTCACTGTTTGAATCCCGCAAAGTATGCCTGAATGAGTTTAGCAAGAATTTCCTGAGCACCTCTCATACTTTGCAGAAACTCTATCTTGATCAAAATTTCAACCTTTCTTTGACGAGCGAGTCGCAACTCAAAGAAAGTCGCTGCAAAGTGTTTTTCCCGTAATCCCATTAATGCAGGCCCGCGTCAAAGGAAAAACAGCCCGAGGTCAATATCGCGCTGGAAAAGGAGAGGGGCATTAGTTAACCCCAGAGTCTGAACTAATCCTTTGGTGTGACTTGCGTGCAAGCTTTGCAATGAATGAAAAGGAGGCGAGACGAGAGAGCACCGCTGGAAATGAGCGCGACGGTCAAATGCACTCGCTAGAGAGAGGGATGGCTTTTTTCTTTTCTGGGACGGAAAAGTCGTCGCCAGCAGTCGTCATTATTTTTAATTAGTATACTCGCTCTTTTTTTCGTGCCAGCAGCGGTGCAATAATTAGTTCTAAGCTGGTCACCATCGCAACCGGGCAAGAAGAATAAAACCCTCGGCTTGGCTTGCATGCGGAATAAAGTGGGTCATTTGGTGGCTGCACTCGCTCGCCTCTTTACAGCTGCACACGCGTTTGTTTAAGATATAATGAGAGGATTAAAAGCTGACACTTATTCCACAGATGAAAACAAACTTCACCAAGATAGATCCTAAGTGACATTAAAGCTTGTTAGCATATCGCACATTTTTTTGCATCTTCCTTGCTTGGAAATATGAATTATTTAAAAAAAAAATCAAAATTTGCATAAAACTGTAAACTTCTAAAGTAATTGCCAGATTAAGTATTAAAAAAAAATGGATCAATTTGAATATTAAAAAGAAAAATTACAAATATAATTTTAAGCTATTTATTTAGTAATAAGAGTTCTAAAGATGTCTTATCATCAGATTGAGTTTATTGACGCCTGCTCGAAATCTACCATAATCGACCATTTCGCCCTAAATTAACTTTATAAGTTTATATTATATATTTAAATGCGATTAAACAAAGCAGACAACATTGCAGAAATTCGTACATATATTTTTGTAACAACAAAAAAATCACAGTTTCTGATAATTTTACAAAATATCAAAGATGGACTAAATCTGATCTTTTTTCCTTATGTTTAATTTTTTTCAAACCACTTCACTCATGAAATTTAAGACGTTTTTAACTATTTCATCAAGAAATTAACTGAAAATAAACCAACAATTTTGAACTCATCAATTGATAAATCGTCAAATCAAAAAATGGTCACACACAAATTTTTATAAGCTATAATTGTCAAGCATAAATTCTGAAAATTAAATAAAATAAAAAATTTGTCATTGATGGTAAAATTTTGCATTAAAAAAAGTGATAACAGATGAAAGTAATTTAATTATATGAGGTAGTTAAAGTAGCTTTTATTCACTCAAATAAAAGTGATTTCCATGAAAGAGAGACTCTTTGTTTAGGTCAGACTGGGTCAGACTAAAACCTTAATAATAATTAATGGATTTCTCTGTACTTTATTATTATTTTATTAATTTGGCCATTATTTATCTGAATACTGATAAGGTGTGAAAATTTAAATTTGTTTATTTACACCAATAAATTTATACATGATTATTTTCCGTTGCGGAGGGAAATTTTTCAACTTTCCCCTTCGACATGGGTTTTGCACTACCTCGACAAATGAACCTGGTCTCTTTGTAATTAAGGCTTTCTCGATACTGAAAAATTTCCTCTTGTTTACAGATGCACCGTTGATCACGCTGAAAATGGGCAGCACGCTGAACGCGGACGACATCAAGGAGGGCGACGACGTCTACTTCGAGTGCCACATCAAGGCCAACCCGAAGATCTACAAGAAGACCTGGTTCCATAACGTAAGTGCTGGCTGAGCGCATTCATTAATAATTCATTAGTAGCTCGTTCGCTCGCGAGCAGCCAGAGTTTTCATTATTTCTCTAATTTCGCCCGGCGATATGAAAGCAATTTCGGTTTAATTTTCCGCGGCGTTTTCTCAAAAGAAAATCGAGCAGGTTTCTATAACGTGGCCGCCCCCACCCGCCCCCTGCCTTCGTCAGCCAACTCGCGCTGCTATTCATTCAAACCCTCGTCTCGTTAATGATGTAAAAGCCGCTTTTGCAGTTATTAAAAAGCCTCGCGCGCGCGAGGACGACGAGCTGCTTCTTCATTTTGCTTTTAATCTTCATCAGCAGCCTCGCGAATCGCGAGCAAACTCGATTGCCAATGAGAAAGAAGAGCCTTTTTTCCAAGCACTGATAGTTCGGCAAGCTCTGTTTATTTTATAATTTTTTATTTTCTTTTTGGATAGCAGAGGAAGGCTAAACGCGCAATTATCTGAAAAGAAAATTGATTTTTTTATTGTGCATAAAAAAAACGAAAAATTTTCTTTAAATTGGATGCCACCCATTCTCTCACTAGTAATCAATCAATTGGCTTTTTACTTCTTTCAAGGGAATTCATAATGAAAAGTTAACAACTTTTGTGAGAATATTTAGTTTAATTGAGACCACACATTTCTTAATTTTAGATATGTGGGGAAACTATAGCAGATTTTAATTCCAGTCTAGGTGTAAAATGAAAGACACTACACGATTCCTGGCCAATTGAAGTTTTCTAAATTTTTTTAGGTATTTTAATTGTTATAAAATTTCAGGTAAAAACAAATTAATTATTTGATTATAAAAAGAGGTGCAGGAAAATTAAATAATTAGCATTGATAAATCAAAAATTTTTATTACACATAGTTATAAGTCTAGATTATATAATAAAACTGCTATTTACTCATAAATAAAAAATGATTTTTACTATATATATATATTTTTTTTTTTTTTTTGTAATTGTTAAAATTTAATATTTAGTAATATTGATTTTCTCACAAATAAAAGTTTTTAAAAGCATCTTACTTTTATTTTATAAACAAAGTAGATGCTATGGTATATTTTTATACATCAGAGCTGAAATGCTCATCATGACTGAGCAAATAAAAGTTAATGTTACTGAGTCCTTATGCAAATATACAACTTTTAGAAATATTTTTGTTGAATATTTAGTAATATTTTTTATACTGAATCTTACCAAATGAACTTGTATTTAATTCTAACTTATCTTCATCTCAAATGACTGAGGTACCTCTTCATGATGACCTATGGTTTTGTGTATTAATATTTATTTTTTTTTTTTTTAAGTTCAAGCTAATTTTTTTATCAAATATAAATCAAGATAAGTTCTCTTTTCCTTAAGTTAAATAATAATTAATTTTTATTAATATTTGTATCTTCAAATTGACTTAAACTTTGCTTCTAAACAGCCATTTTGGGCTGAACGTGTACCCAAATTTAATGGGAGCTCTTTAGGCTATTTCCAATTTCGGCATGAAACTTGTGCTTTGATAAGAGCGCACAACGCAAACAAGAGGAAGCTTCAGGGGGGTGCAACCTCAAACAAAGAGTTGTGGGTCGGCCGAGCGAGTGGCGGTCGGGCCGCTTTTTATCTGGAAAAAGCGGGGCCGGTTCGTCTTTTTTCGCCGGGAGCGAAAACGCTGACTGAGGAGCGAAAAGGAAGGGTCTCGGGCCTATCAAACTTTCCCAAGAGACACGCGCGGCTGATTTGCATATTTCAGGAGAGAGGAAGCACAATGAGCGGGCGAGGTGCTGCCACGGTCATACACACATGTGTGCGAACTCGTCCCACGCAGCGGCCCAGCTGCGCCGTAAAAGCTCAGCGCAGAAACCTCGGCAGACCGAATTTTGTGTTTGTCTGCGGCAAATTTGAATATGTTAATGCGGCGGCGGCGGGCGCGAGCGAGCGAGCGAGCGAGCGAGAATCTGCAAAGAAAATAATCATGCAGATTACGCGGTCGCGCGCAATCTCCTTAATTGCGATGTTAAAAGGTGCGTGTGCCGGCGACTCTCATTTGAATTTTCGATTCGCGCCCGCCAATGTACCTGCAAAGCACCCCAGTCACCGCTTTTAATAAGCTAATGGCAGTTGCGATAAAAATCGTTGGGTTAAATTTTCTATGCAGTGACGAGAATTTCCTTTTTTATTCTTTCGTACTGAATTAGTTTTTTTTCACAGCGTTTTTTTTTTTAATTTGCATAGAGCAATTTATTGATGATTCAAAGAAATTTAAGCGTTTAATTCTATCATATCATGTCAAAATGGAACCATTGCGGATTCATGCTGGATTTAATTTTCATCAAAATACAAACTCAGATTTGAGAACTCTGTATTCATATTTAATTTAATTAACAATTTTTATAGATTTTATAACAATAAATGATTAAAAGAAATAAAATTTTAAATCTAAAAAAAATATATATTAAATTAGCATACAAATTATTTAATTTATTATATTATTGTTTATATAAATTTGCATAACATTTACACATTATAAAAAAAACAATAATTTATATATAAATATATAGTAATATTTTAAATCTATTGTTTAATTTTTGCCATCTTTAAATTTGGAAAATTAAACAAAATCAAATTATTGGTCAGACAGATTTGATTTTTTTATTTTAATTAGGGCCGATTAGAGCAATGGAGGAGTAGTTTAAGCAATGGAGAGAGAAAAGATGAGAATTTTACATAAAAAGTTTAACAATTACAAATAACATGCAATTTTCCATCGTCATCATATTTAATAAGAATTCAAATTAATAAATTAATTATTTTGAAGAAAGTGGCACTTGAATCATAATAAAAGCAAGTTGTCAAAATCAGGGTCCTCCTGTTTGAGAAAGTTTTATACTATTTAAACATGGATGTTGTCTAAAATACAATAATAATCAATAATTAAAGTCTGAATTCTAATAACAATTCCAGGCTTAGTTAGAGATGATTTGCTTATTAAGTAATCATACAACAACATTAATTTAAACATAAACACCGCATTTGTGTGACTCGTGTTCTGTCGGGAGCTACGCCCGCTGCGATTAATTTTGAGCCTTCCGCAGTAAATGCCATCAATTAATATCGAATTAAGCAGGTGTGTGGTTAAATTGCGCTTTCTCTCGCTCGTTAATAAATCACCTCAATGCCGCGCGCGATTGTGTTTGGTGCGTGTGTTGTGCGCCCTGCTTGGTATCTGCTGCTCTCCTTCCGAAGCTAATATGTTTATAATGCGCGCGAGCAGTGCCGCTGATGCGTTGTTTGGTGGCGGCGGTGCGGTGCGGTGGCGGTGCACAAAGGATACACACAGTGTAATGCGCGCGTGAAGGAAATTCCTGCCAGGCTGCGGTTCGCCAATTTTGAAATAATCCCTCTCGAATAAATTCACATTAGACGCTGCACCGACGACGCTTACCGTTGATAATTGTTGTCACCGTGTTGGCCGTGTTGCTCCGCGTTCTGAAACAACAATTTCACATAAAACAGCTAATGAATTTGTTTTTATATTCTGTTATAGTAATAACGCTTATTTCCTTCATAATAAATTCATAATACTCATAATACAATTAAGTTAAAATAATACTGCAATACAACCTATTTAATAAAAATATTAAAGAAAAAAAATGCCCTGCATTTTTAGCAATTTTAAAGTTTTTTCTGATGAGAAGAGAGTTTATTTAAGAAAAATGTATTGTAAATTTTCTTTAATTTCAATTTCAGCTAGAAAAAATAACGATTTTTCAAAACACTCCATTCAGGTTGAAGAGAATTTTATTTTTTCTACATTTCTTGCCCTCATCTTAATTTTAAACTACCGCTTTCGCCATGATAGCAAATGTGTGCAACTTAAGCCGTGTGCTGTGTATATCGCGTCCACATTTGACGTAATGAAAATATATTGGGTGCTGCTTTGCTCGGAGCGCGCAGCCTTTTGTGTTGTTTAAATATTCATTAGGCGTAATTAGCTCGCTCATTTTCGCCACCGAGAACGAGCAGTCTGCAACAATTAAACGAAGGAAGTGGCGCTGAACTTCGCCACTCTGCGGCCCAACTTTCGCCCGGCGGGCCGGCCGCCAAGAACGCGTTCTCTGCGGAAGCTGGAGGCGGGCGAGGGTGAAAAATGGCTTACTTAACCGGATGTTACTCAAGAAAGTTTCATTCACGCTCAAGGGCTCGTTCCTCAAATTTAGGACTTGGCATTCGCACTTGAATGAAGCGCAGGTTCAACAGCACTTAAAACTTAAAATTGATTAAATGTAACACTTAAAATAATAAAATTAGCAGATAATTAAAAAAAAATGAAATATTAAAAACATATTTAAAAAAAATTATACATTCCATGTTTCATGCCTGTATACAATTACCTGACTGATGACAAAATCTGTTCTTCCCTGATAAAAAGCGACTTTTTAAAGTCAGATTTTCTGAATAAATCCAAGTTAAATCATTCCATTCAATAGCGAATATTGCAAATTGTTCTTGTTTCTTCTTCTTTTTACAATCAGATATCAAATGCCTTTAAGAAAATAAAATCAAGTCGTTTGTTTATATTATCACTTGTTTCGTATAAAATGACGCAATTTTAAAAGATTCATGGTCATAATTCAATTGAATAAGAAAATGTAAAAATAAAAAAAATTCTTTTTGTACCGATTCATATATTTCCGCAATATTTTTTATTAAGGTCGAGCAAAAATTATTTATTCTTTTCAGCATTGCTCGAAATTCTTCCATGCCATCGGAATAAAAGAAAAATGCGGGTCAATTTTAACACGTCGCTTCTTCCCTCGGCTCTCATTTAGACAAAGGACCTGCGGCGAGAGGCGGTCAGCGGCTTATTGAAATACTTGGCGAGACAGAAACAATGGATCACTGGAGCGTGTCTCTTTCCCTCTCAAAGAAAGTGGGGGCGAGACAGAGGCCCCCGGGGGCGGCAAAAGTCAAGCCGAAGAAGATCCGCTGAAATGCACTCAAGGGCTCACCCAACCCGAGTGTGGTAGGCAACCTGCCCGACCGCAGTGACAAACAAATTGCCTAGTCAAGCTCCTTACGTCTGTTGTAATTATGATGCGAATTCCCCACTCCACTCTCGACTGCCTCGTTGAGAGGCATTTAGCTTCTTGAGTGACGGAATTCCTGCTCTCGTCTCGGTATTAATCTCGGCAGCACCGGCTGCGGTGGCGCCCCCGAATGCCAAACTTTTGTTATTAAATTTACAAGTTTGTCTCAATCAAGCAAGACATGCGCACGCTAGCTGCTTTTGGGTCAAGAATAGTTAGTTAACTATGTAAGTACTTGTCTCGTAGAGACACGCTGTGGCTATCGGATTGCAATGTTCCAGTGGGATTTGAAAATTATCTCTGGATGACATAATCTGAATATCAGTTATTATCACAAATATACAAGCCGAATGCGACTGAATATGTTGAAACTTTATGGGTATGCAGATGCTGGAATCAAGTATGCATGTTTTGAATAATTCTGGAATTCTGCACAAAATTAATTAAACAAGCAATAAGCTACAGTTTTTTTTCTAAGGCAGGAGAGATTTAATAATGTAAGACATAAACTTCTCAATTTTTTCCATGTAAATAGCAGTTAAATAAATTAAATTAATTTGATTATTTCTATTCTTAAAATTTTGCCCTGTGATTAAATTTGTATTATAAGAGAAATAAAATTGTATTTGACGGACTTTTATGCAAGTTTGGAGTTAAAAATTCCTGATTACTTGGAAAAAATTTGATATCTCCAAATAAAAATGAGTGAGGGATATTTTTTATAATTGTTCTGGGGTAGAACCTGAGCGAATATTGATTTCAATTATACGAGTTAAAAAATGAAACTTATGGACTTTTGATTAAAAGCGAATATTTTTAAAAATTCTGTCTTATTTTGTAGCGAAAATGAAGATTTCTTAATTTCATTTCATTTCCATCAGATTTCCATGGGATTTTAAAAACTGACTGGCCAAAAAAAGTACCTTTGAAACTTTGCAATATATAATTTATTTAGTATTGGAGACTAAGATGAAGGATACTTTTATCATCACCAGTCTGCACCAGTCTAATGGGAAATACATGCAAAAATTCAAAAAATATTCTACAAAAAAAAATTTTAGATTTATAATTATTAAATGTAATTTCCACCAATGAATTTGATATATTGTTAATATTTTACAGAATATCTTTAAGATAATTTCTCCTGAAAATGAACATGTCTTGAATCTTCCTTTTGCAGAATCGTGAGATTGTGCAGAACGTGAGCGCTGGCGTGATTATCAGCGACAACAGCCTCGTCCTGCAAGGGGTCACGCGCTTCAACGCAGGCTACTACACGTGCATGGCCACCAATGCAGAGGGCAAAGGCAACAGTAATCCCGTGGAGCTGCGGATAATGTGTAAGTAGCGAATTCCTCCTCCGTTCCTTTAATTTCTGCTCCACCGCAGTAAAATTTTGTGTCTAGCATGAGAACGCTCGTATTAATTTCCACTCGTTTAAAAACGTGTGTGCGATAAAAAAATGTTGCTTTTGTGTGTTCACCATTAGTGCAAAAAAGTATAGTGTAGAGAACAGTAGCTATGCGTCGTGCGGCAAGTCATTTGCATTTAAATTGAAACTGCACACGTGCAACTTGGCCGGGTGCTTTTTACCACCACGGCGCGCACCTGCTCGTTAAAATGCTCGTAATTTTAATTATTTTTCCAGGCGTGAAGTGAAGCGCGAAAATTCATTTCCGCGCATTGTCGGGCGGTAATTAAAAAAAACTTATGCAATTTCTCTCACTTGCTCTCTCGCGTCCTCGAAATCAGCAAAAGATCCGGGCGCGTTTTATTGCCCCGAACCAGAGAAAATCTTTTTATGTTGGGATTTCGAGTTAGAGCAAGATTTATTGAACGCATTCTGGTCTTCCACGTGTCAACCCAAGATGTATCTCTGAGTCGTGCTGCACTTTTTCCCGCCGAGACTTTGGTCATTGTAGCGGCGACCAACAATGCGCTTACGTGCTCCAAGTTTTTTCTCCACGTTGTGATTTATTGCTGTTTCGAATGCATTCAAAGGACAATCTACTTTTTTGTTAAGATTAGCTGCTTCCTTAGATGATTCTTGACAATTATTTCGTAGAAAATAATATATGTGTACACCATTAGTTTGCACATAAAAAAACTTTCAACAAAGGGGATATTTAGATCGAAATCAAATGAAGCTTTTTTTCTTCAAAGAATTTATTTATCTTTCAAAAACCAAACTAACTGTTGTATTACAGTATTATAAAAATAGTTTGAAATTTCATTTCCATTGCTCAACTTCATTCGTTTCATTTCACATCACACTTATTAATTTTCCAGTCTGTTCCACACAGACTTATTTTCTCAGGAGAAAATTAAAAAAACGATCATATTAATATAGCTTTTTTTTGTCCTTTACAAAAAATTTATTGGCCTTTTTAAATTTAAATGTAACATTATTTATAATATGTAGTTTTGACACTTTTTTGATGAATGATCATGGTATTTATTTTATAAAACAATTTAAAACATTTTAAATTATTTTTTATAATTTATTATTTAAAAATTTATTTTTACAGTAAAAAAGCACGCATAAAAATATTCCGATTAAAAATAAATTTGACATAAAAATTCAAAAAATTATATATATATATATTTGTATATCCGAGCAAAAATTTGTGCCCAATCAATTGAAATAGATATGTTTGCATGACCATGTTTAAAATTATCCCGTTATAAATGCATTACTTTTAGCGTAGGATCATAATTAATTAAAGTGTTGATTTTGGCTGCACTTAATCAATATACATTGGAAATTCAAAAAGTGCTAGTTAATCTGTCGTGATCAAAAACTTTGCAACGATTTTTTGCATTTCAATACAGCACAGGTTTTACGAGAGCAGCTATGCTCTTCTTCTCTTAGAGAATTTTAATTTAGCGTGCAGTAATTACAAACAAAGGCGGCATGTCGTTCCTTCTCTTTTGTCTGGGCCACAGAAAGCGCGCAAATGCGCGGCGGCAACGCGCGTTTGCAGGTTTTTGCTGGTTTCTTTATTGTGGTTTTTATTACGACTGAAGCTGCAGCGCACGAGCCTCGTAAACAACAACAGCATGTGCTCCGGCGTGGAAATTATAAAATACAAAAAGCAGTCGCTACACTCGAACGCTTGCTCGTTTTATGGCTGCACCTCCTTTTTCCTTCTTTTTGTTCGTCGCCGCTCTTTTTTTTAATAAATTCACTCGGCCGCATTTAGTCGCTTTTGCTTCTTGGCGTGCGCATTCGCCTCGTTGGACGATTTGCGGTGCTTTGAGAGACTGAATTTGAATTAGTATAGGAGGTGTGAGAGTCTAACACACACGCAAATAAACCGGCACTTCCAAGCTCACAGAGATTCAGCTGGCGGGCGAGATTGAATTACATGAGACTTATACGTTAAAAACAAATTATTTTCGGTTAAATTGAAATGAAAGCCCAAATTTTAAAATTTATAATATGCAATTCTGTATATAAAAAATTTAAATTATTGCAACTAGGCGTTTTCAAAAATTGCATCATAAATATCAAATAACTTTTTTTTTTGTCTTTTTATGTTTCATAAATTTGATCATTTTTTAATTTTGGATTTTGGTTTATTGTGAAGATATCCCTACTACAATTCTAAATTTTTAGTTCCTGTTTCTAGAAAAAAGATATTTAGTGTTTCTAAAATGGGCTAACATGAGCTAAAATTTAGCAAAAATAGGCAAACTTGAGCAAAGTCAATGATGAGAAGAGAAAAGGAGCAGGATAATTAAATATTATTCTAAATTAGGGAAAATTAGGATTAATAACAGCAAACTTAAGCTTCGCTGGTATTTAAAATTATATAAAAAAATAAAATATGATTATTTATTAACAAATAGTAAGCCTGTTTCTTGATTTTGAAATTATTGACCACGATCTCCATCAGTCGATAGCAAAATATGGAAAATCCTTTTCCAATATTTGCTCGCTGTTCGAATTTTTTATTTATCTTTTATCAGTTTCCTCTTGTAAATATGTATGTTTGACTTAAAAAAAGGCATGTTGCAATACATTTATTTAATCATGTTGCAATACATCAAATTTATTTTTGTATCTAGTATAACACTTTGTAAATATGTATTTTTTCAAGCTCGTTTTACTATCTGCATTGTGCTTTTGCCTGCTTGTTCTGAACGTCCTTTTCACACACAATATTATCCCGAAAAAAGCCTCCCTCCCCTAGCATCAGCGTAAAAAGCCTTAAACCGTGCGTAACAAGAGCGGAAAGTAAAAAAATCTTCCCTAGTATACAACAAAAGCCCAAACCCCCTGCACGAGACCAACCCCACAAAACTCTCATCAAATCTGCGGCCGGCTAAATAAATGGCCGCCCTCTTTCGAAAAGAAAAAATCGACCAAGGGGGAATGAGTAGATTTAATTGTAATAATGACGGTCGCTTTTCCACGCAATTACGCCGGCAAATAAGGAGGCAGTCTCGGCAATTATGTGGCACCACAATTTGCAGACGTGCCAACGTGCCGGGACGAGCGCGAGGAGCTGCTGGGCGCCCTGAAGCACGAGACGGTGGTGGTGCGGTGCGAGGTGGACGCAAACCCGCCCATCGTCTCCTTCACGTGGACGTTCAACAACTCGGGCGACGTGGCCGAGGTGCCGCACTCCAAGGTGACCAGCGACGCCACCACCAGCCGCCTCAACTACACGCCCGTCGCCGACATGGACTACGGCACCCTGGCGTGCTGGGGCGCCAACGCCGTCGGACGCCAACGCAACCCCTGCATCTTCCAAGTCGTCGCCGCAGGTGAGAGACAATTTGCTGCAAAATATTTATTTAATATACTCGAATTTTAAGTTTTAACTGCATTCAGATCATAAGAATAAAATTAATTAATTAATTAAGCTTCACCAAAATCACACGGTCAAAAATAAATCTACCAAAATATCACATTTTAAAACACAAATCTGATTCATTGTCAATGTTAGTAATATTAGAGGTTAGAGAAGATTATTATATTGCCTGTTAATTTTATTGGTTTGTACAGAGCATTTAAATTATTTAAAGTTTGTTTGAAGGGAAAATTGTGTAAATTTTGAAATTTAATTTAGGATTTTTTGCAATTAAATTGATGGTCATAAAACACTCCAAATTTAATCCATTTTTAGCACACACTTGCTAGTTGCGACATCTTTTCTTCTCTTTTTTTAATAGGATTAAGAGTGCAACTAATAAAATATAAATATAATTGATAAAAAAAAATTCACAAATATTTATTCTATTGATTTGCAACTAGAATTAGAATGTAGATTTAGCAAATAAATTTAAACATGTATTTCCAAGACACGACTTTCATATTTTTAAATAAACAAAGATTAATTCAAAGAAACGGTTATTTACTTTTGCTGCAAGTGTATTTTTATTCCAAAATAAACATTAAGGGCGAACCTTAATACTATATTGTCTAGTTACAAGTTTGAAGTTGTACCCAAATGGGTTAATAAAGATAATCATCATTAAAGGGCAAACCAAAAGCCAAACCTGGCTCGGGCTTCTTTACAACAGCATACAAATTGCTTTTGTTGTTGACAATTAAAGACTTAAAACGCTATGGGCAGCAATTGCCTTTGTGATATATCAATATACACGCAATTTGCAACTAAAATGAAGTTTAAAAAAAAACCAAAATCTTACAAATAATAGAAGAACAAATTAGGTGATTTAAGGTTTCAAAATGATGATTATTTTCAGGCTCAAATTAAGAAAAATAAAGTGGGAAAAGTGTGAATCAATGTGTTTTTTCAACCCTAATTCAAGCTATTTCACACATTTTTAAATTTAAATAGAAATAAATTCCATTACAAAAAATTCCATCAGCAAAACTGGTTTCAAATTGCTTACTTTCCCGTCGCTCTCATCATGCACTAATGAGCTTTGTCTGTAAATTCGTCCACTAATTAACAAACAAACAAGTATCTGTGCAAATAATAGTTATTAATTTTGTCGTGGCCAGCGCTTTTGTCGAGAGAGTGATGATTTGTGCCGCCGGCAATCAATTACCTGCTTATGGTGACGGCACCGATATATATTACGCATTCATTCATTCTGCGGTGTCTGGGCGGCTTTTGGCACACATTAATCAGCAGGCGCAAAAATGTTCACTGCGCGCGTGGGAATAATAATTAACCCCCGCGTGTGTTTGCCGTTGCAATAACAATGCCGTAATGGCGGTTAATAAACTGCTCAGCGTGGCTTTTGTTTGCACACAATAATTATGCTGCTCCCCACATGCTGAGAGCGCCCTGCTTTGGTAATTGGAGTAATTTTCCACTGTAATTTTGTGGAACTTAACGTGTAACTAAAATAACAATAATTTACGCTGCATTAATTTAGCCAACTGTCTCAAGTGATGGTCAAATTTGGATAATTTTGAAGTACCAAGGGTTTTTTCTTCTATACTCTAGCTATTTATTTCGAATTTAGTAGGTTTAAATAATAAAAATAACAATTATACAAATTTATTTTTTATTATTAGATCACTATTCATATAAATTTTTCCATGAATATTTGACATAATATTAAATTTAATATTTATGTTATCATGTATTTATTTAAATCTAGTTTTTAGGAATAGGAATATATATTAGTATAAAACATTCTAAGATAAAAATGGCTTATTTTTTATAATTTACAAATTATATTTAAATTTATTTAAAGATTTGCAACTTAGTAAGTGGTTAAAAAAAAATTTAAAAAATATTCATAAATTGTCAGTTGTCAGTTGGGTTATCTATGATTTTAAAAATGCAAAATGTTGTTGAATCTATTACAAAATATGAAATCTAGATTAGAATTTTTATTAAAAAAAAAAATAATAATAAGCTTTACTTCTCTCCAAGATTTTAAAATCAATAGTAGATAAATTACTGATATTTTGCTCATTTTACTGCTTTTGAGGTCATAAAGGATGATGGGTTTTATAATTTAAATATTTTCTTAAAAAATTTTGGTAACCTATTTTAAGGTGGATCAAAATAAATTTTCGTTAATGCAAGTTTGGGCGAAATATTAAAAAAAAAACCAGTTGATCTAACAAACATTTCACATTTATAACTCCTTCTTCGTCCTGCTTTAGGTCGACCCTTTCCGTTGACCAACTGCAGCATCACGAACCAGACGGTGGACAGCCTGACCGTGGACTGCGTCGAGGGTTTCGACGGCGGTCTTCCGCAGTACTTCCTGGTGGAGGTGCTCGAGGTTCCTGAACGCAGACTGCGCCACAACGCCACTTCCAGATTTCCCACATTTACGCTTCACGGACTCGAGCCCGGACTGAACTTCATGCTGCAACTTTACGCGGCCAACGCCAAGGGCAGGTCCGAGGCGACGCTCATCGAAGGGCTCTCTGTCAAAGGAGTGGCAAAGTTCACAGGTAAGCAATTTTGTTTTGATTTGGAATAACCTTAATTAATCTTATGGAGTGTGTAATATTTCTGTTAAATTAAATTTTAATTATTTTTGCAAATATTTATTGACAATGATGAATGATTGTACAAAACGTTTCATTTTAAGCAGAGAGTCACAGTGAATATTCATTTAAAAAAAATATTTTTTAATATTAAATTATAAATTTGATACACGCTACAATTTCCATGAGATCAGGAACTTTGAAAATAATTATTACCAAAGATTTGTGATTAAAGCTTTTTATTGAATTTAATGTGTATTGCAAATTCCGCATTTGACAATACTTTCTGAAAATTCAACAACATATATCATTGTTTTGAAATTAGAGGATTCAAGGTATTTTAACGATGTACCCGGATGGAAATTATATAATTAAGAGGAAGCGATCGATCAGTTGGAATTGAAAAACAGGCAAAGTAAAAGTGAATACATTTTTGCGCTTCATGAATTTCCTGAAGCCAAAACTTCACCTCTATTCTTTTCAAAAATTATTTTCCACTGGCTGGGAAAATTTTGAGTAGAGGTAAAGGGGCATACGGACTCCCCTCGATATGAGCGTCCTGATAAATGTTACTTGATTTTGCAATCAGTCTTTCTTTAAGCTTCTAATATGTATTTTAAATCCTGAGGAAATTTGTATAATGGTTTTTTAAACTTTGGACAAAAATTGATAGACATATAAGCAACAACATCTTTATTTGCAAGTTTAATTTAAAAATTTCTTCTTGATTATGCTGAAATGAATAACTGGGCTTTTGCTTGCTGCATCATTGTTTTATAGAAAACATTTTGTTATCTTTTTTTCAGACCCTTTGAAGAATTTTAAGCTTTGCTAAAATAGACTTTTCAGATTGAAAATTCAGCTATATAAACGGACAAATAAACCAACTTTTTTTTGCCAAAGCTCGGCTGCGTGTGGAAAAACAGGATGAAAAAGTCAGAAAGCCTCTCGCATGAATATGCAACAAGCAACGCAAAATTAATATTTCAGTGGCGAAGCGGCGTGTGTACTGTGCACACAAACAAACAAACAACTGCAGCTAGCAAATCCAGAAAATTTGCCCCAACAAAGAGCGAGGACGCAAAACAAAATTGCACCCACCGAGAAAAACAAACGAGTCGCGAGTATTAAAGTTTTGTGACCGCAGAAATAAAAGGAAAAAGAATCCAGTGCCGCCGGTGGCGCTGAAAAGGAAAAGATACACGCGCACGTACATGCAGAAGTGAGGAAAGAAAGAACAAGTTGGTCGCCGTCGTACACTATTTTCCTTTTTTTATTTTCCAAAGTCGAAGCACGCGCCTGAATATTGAGTCGGTCTCATTTTACCTCGCGCGCTCCATTCAATGTCAATATTACAAGCGAATAGAGATAAAATATTAAGTTAAAAAGAGTGAGCAAGCGGTGCGCGCCAAACTTTGCTTTTATATGCCCATAAAAAATTCGCGGCAATATTTTGGTGAAGGATGACAAACTTTGCGAAAAAGAACTAAAGGAACTTAAAGAAAAACATGTCAATACCTTTTGTTGAGCTTGCTAAATGGAAAAATGCTTCTGTAAGAAAATTCACGTCTAACACAGTTTTAATATGCTAAAGCCGTTTTAAATTTGTAAAAATTCGCAACACAATTGTGCGTGAATTATAGTTTTACGTGAATTTTATCATTTTCCTGCGGTGACATTTTTTTTTAAGGATTTTCATTTTTTTTTTAATTCGGCAAGACCTGAACACACCTGTCCTTGGTTTTATAAGCGTCAACTTTCTGAATATTTGTAAGAATTTGAGAAAATCTTAAATTATTAAATTTTTATGTTTTTAATATTTTTAAATGTATATTTAATAAAATTAAAAACATTTATGTACCAATAGTTTGCTCCTCTGATATAGTTTTCAATGTTTTTTTTTCTTTTGTTTTTTTTTTAAACTTTAATGGGAGCAAAAAACCCTTTTCACTATTAATTTTTCTTTATTTATAATACCTTCTGGAAAATAATTCACGTCTGCTATTGTCACGATTCCAGGAATTTCTCAATTAATGTCTCTCTGTTGAATTTTGTTAAAATCTTGATTTCTCTCCTGCTCTATTGAAGTCTTTAGAGTGTTTTTCATTTTCATGAGAGCGAAGAATTACTGTAGATTAAAAATTTTTTTACTCAATTCACGTTCAAAAATTAAATTAATTATAGGCTAACCAGAGGCTAACGATAGCTTGACAAATAAAAAAATAGAGCTTCTTGATAAATCATCTTTAAGTGAAAGTTATATTTTAACAAATTATATACTTTGAGGAAATTATTCAAACTAGCTAGTAAATTTTCTTGTTTTATTTAAAAAAAAAATCCACTTTAATTAAATTCATTGATGCAAGTCCAATTTGTTATAGAGGAATTTCAGAACATGGGCGCTTAATTATTCAACAGGCTCGCCTATTTGAGTACGCATTAGCCGTCGAGTATGTCCGCGCTTGGCCAACATCCGGCGCTTCTCGCAAACAAATACACAGTAGAACAAGCTGAAGTGCGCTTAAGTCAATTAGGTCGGCGCCGGAGAGAGAAGCTTGTCAGAATAATAGCCGAGAAATTTACATTGTTGCCCAACCAAGAGACTGCACTGCAATTATTTAGCTAAGACGAGTGGAATTTGAGTTAAATTTTCTCCCCCGATTTTGTCGTGCGTGTTGCCTAATTCATAATTCACCGTCGACAAAGGGTCGCGGCTGTGGGGGGGCCGTGTCTGCTTCTGGCTGCTGTCACAAGTGACCTTTGTTCGGCAAGGCTTCTTCGCGCGCCCTTTGAATATGCATGCGTTCTGCAGGTGAGCCATTGTTTTATCTGCTCTCTCGCAGCAGCACCACCGAAAGCAGATTATGCTGATTCTCTCGGCACATTATTATTGCTAAGGCGCGTTCTCCATTGTTGTGACGCCGGATTAGTTTTGCAGCCCAGCCCTCTTGACGGGGTCTTGTCGCTTTCGCGACACGCAAACCGAGGTGATTATGTGTGTTGTGTCGTTTGGGCGCTTGTGTTTGTCTCTAGGATTATTTTTGCACCTGACACAACATCTTTTGTTGCGGCGAGAGAGTGACGAAATCTACAAAACGTGCAACTCAGTGAGATAGAAAGCGTCACTATGTTAATTTTACGAATTTTACTATAAAAATAGCCAAATCTAAAATAAATTTTGAGGTATTACCATTGAAAAAAGTTTTTCAACTTTTGCAAAAACTTAATTTTTATTGGAATATTGGTAATGGGAGAAACAACGGACCAGCGTTTGTTTTTTTTCCTAAATATAACCTTTTGTGATTATTCATGTAAAACAGTAAAACCTTAAAAAAAAATGGTTCAAATCCACTTTTCAATTAGAGTTTTGATTGATATAACTACTAAACAAGAGGAATTGTCCACTTTTTTGTGTCAATGGTTTGCAAATTTGAAGGAAAAATTTTTTATTGTAATATAATTATGAAAAAAAAATTCAATCGAATATTTTAAGCATTTGTTTAAAATGAAAGTTTTCCATCTCTTTGCAAACAAAGAGAAAATTAATTAAGAATTGAAAAAAAATTGTTACCTTCCAAAGAAACTGAACAGTTTTAAACTAACAATAAGACTTTTCCAATAAACATAAAATTAACATTTCGCATAAAAAATGTTTACTTCTGGAACTTAACAATTAATTTTCCTTTAATTTTGTAGCAATACTGAATGAAATCTTTAAATAAAAATTGTAATTCCAATTCCCCATTTAAAACTTTTTAATCACGTTCAATTTTGTTATTTACAGCAAAATTTTGATTCCCTCTTGTTAATTAGCATTAAGTATTAATTAGCAAATCCTTTCATTCAATTTTCTGGGTAGAGTTTTAGTTAAGCACACAGTCGTTTGATAAATGGAAATATAAACCAATCACTTCTCTACCCACACTTTATAATCCTACAAACGCTGCTCTGAAAGTTTCCCTCGTAATTAACAAGCCCGCCAAATGTGCGAGCAACTTTCAGTGCAGCATTCGTCAGACCTACGCATTTCAGGGTGGCATTTCTCTCTCTCTCTCCCACGAAATGTTCGACTTCACGAGGGTTCTTCAAACCAATTCCCGCCCTTTCCCAGCGACCATTCTCTCTCTCTCCATGCGTGTATTTTCCCACAACAAAAGTCTCATTAGAGTCGGGCTGAAAATTAATTTGCGGCAGTCAAGTTGGAATGCTGCAAACGCTTCGGAATGCAAACTCTCAACGAGATGGCAATTTATGGTTGGCAAGCGCACATATAAACGCGCGCGCCCTTCCTAAATAATAAACGAGCGCAAGACCTGATTAAATATTTCTGTCGTTCCTACCAAAAATAAAAACGCACGCAGCGTTCCAATAAACAACGAACCGTGAAGCAAACAATGCTGTGCTAATAATTAACTATGTAAAAAATGTTGAACTCGGTGCTGACTGGAAATCTCTCCAGGCCTTCATTCAAAATGCATTTTTCTTTTCTTGGCTTATTGTTTGCTAATTAAGGTGAAGGTAATTAAGGGGAAGATTTAAAATTAATTGTGCAATTTTGAGCATTATTCTTTAATAAAATTGATTACCGCCACGGAATTACTCCTTATTTCCAAAACGTCTGAACCGTCAGAAAATTTCTGAATTAAATTAATTCATGCATGAATTGGCACTCTGTGCATTGCATTACAAAGCGATTCTATTTTCAGTAGTTTTTGTTCAAAAGTGTTTTCATAGCCAGTGTTTAAATTATCATTTTGAATAAATCAGATTGAGAATTTCTAATGCTTAAAACTTCAAATTCGTTTAAAAAAAGAAAAAAGAAAAGTAGGTTTGAAATTAATTTCCATTTTTATTCACTATTCAATTATTATTTTTTTATAATTATTGATTTTTGTGGTTTCCCAAATTTCTCTATTTTATATAAATTTTAAAAATATTTAGTTCCTCTAAGGTGTGAATTTGCCCAGCGTGAACAGAATAAGGAACTATTAAAACTAATTATAAATACAAAATTAATTATATGGGAAAACCAGAAAAGTTATGTTTGCGAGGAAACAATGAACTTCCGCTTTTCCGCTCTCACCCACTTCCTGGAAACGGATTGTGCGCGCCTTGGAGACAAATTGTGCAAATTTATTTGAAGCACGGGAAGTAACTATATGTACACGTGTGTTAGTTTTGCATTAGCGTAAGATCCGGAACGGCAGCAGCAGGTGCGTCGATACTCCGGGGAATGTGAAATTCATCCCGTGCAAGAGACTAGTCAGTTTGGTTTGGCTCTCACGTAGTTAGTTAAGCATGCAAAGAGGAGAGATCGATGGGTGGGCGAGAGATTGTTTGATGCAGTCGGTATGCAAATGAGCCAAGCGAGCAGTGAATTTGCATCTCTCGCTCGCGCACCAGGCGTTCTTAAGTAAGTGAATGATAATTGAGTGGAGCATAATGGCGCAAAATTCATTTCTCGCCCGGCCATAAATCTCGAGGGGAAGAGATGCTATCTCGATTACAGCAATAAATTTCCTCGCCGCAGGAACACCCGCCGCCGGCGAGCACAGTGCAGAAAAGAAGGAGCGAAAGACAGGCATATTAAACGAGGCAAGCCCGCCTCTGATATTTCTAACGAAGCGTGACTTTATTTCTATATCTATCTGCCCATGACGTATTTCCCCGGAAAAAAAAATACTTTTCTTTTTTCGTCATATCATGTTACTCAAGTTGGGCTTGCGAATAAATTGTCGGATTAAAATAATTTGAGTTTTTGCGTTTATCAGATTTTGATAAATATTTTATTCTAATTGGTTGGTTTCAACAGAATCGAGGGCACAGAGTACTGTCAACAGAGATGACACTTTTTTTCAAATTTATAACAGAGCGGAAGAGTGAATACTGGTTAGGCGATCAAAAAATACATATTGTTCATTTAGAAATTGAAATATTATCTAATTAATTTATATTTATTATAAGGAAAAGCAATCGAAGGGACAAACAAATATAGTTTTACTAATGGTATATATTATTACTGTGAAAAGAGATTCGGAAAACGATTGAAGACAAAAAGTGTTCTCTATGTTTTGGCTGTTTTAATTTATTAATGTTTGATCTGGAATTAGAAATTAAATCCATTAACAGCAATAAAGCGATAGCAAAGTTATTTTTATATTTATTCTTTGTCTTTACATTTCATTTCTAAAGTCACATTTTACTATTTATTTTATAATTACATTTCATTTATTTTTTTAGCAATTCCTTGTCTCTTTAAAAAAAAGAACTGTTAAGCTGAAGTATCCCTGGTAAAGTCAGTTTAAAGCCAAAAAAATGTATTGGAGCACACAGCCTTTTTTTTCAAAAATTCCGTGAAACTGCTATAAAAAAAACTACATATATATATTATATGTATTCAAGGCTTAAAGCTCCTTTCGACGTGGCTCCGGAGTTTGCCAGATTCGTCGCAGCGAGAGTAGAACGGCATAATCCTGCATAATCCGAATGCAGAAATAAATCCGCGAGTCTCTCTCGCGGCGCAAAAGCGATCCAGTCGCTGAAATAATCCGCTGCTTTGCGGCACGCGGACGACGTTATCTCGGCACCCACTGTCACTCAAAATGACGTTTTAATCCCGTGCACGCGGAGGCGTTTTAAAACACACGTCACTCTCAGGGCGGAGTTCATTTGCTAATAATTACTCGGCCGCCGCGCATGAGGTGCCGAGTGATTCTATCGCAAGCGCCGGATCTCGCGAAATAACTCCATTAACATTATTACCTCCCCTCGCACGCGCGCCTCCATTAGCGAAATCGTGCTGTGTGTGAATTGGAGCCGCAGAATTTACTTAATTTTGTTCGACTGACTGGGCGCAGATTTGCTTTTTACTCGCAAAAATTGATCCTCTCCCCGATTCAGGCCTAATTTTGTTTGAAGAAAAATTAATGCCAATTTGCAGGATTTTAATTACTTATACAAATCGATCGCGTGTAAAGGGCGTTCTCACTTTTGCTCTTCTGTTATAAAATTTAAAAACAAGAAGTTTCAATTTTCATGGTTCTCCAGTTGGAACTGGTTCGGCTACTTTTCTGTAAGAGGTCCAATCAATTGAAAGAGCCGCTTAATTGTCAATAATCAATGTCTTGTTTCAGCTGCTGTGTGTGAATTGTTTGGAATTAAACAAGAATTAGTTTATTAATCAATTTCTCATTGTATGCTTAATTTATTGTGACAAAAATTACATGTCCCATCTGCGCAGAATATGCTTTTGCTTTTAATTATTGTTTAAATAGTTGTTCTTTATGCTATGATATAAATATAATAAATAAAAAATAAATAAAATATAATGTTAAAAATCTACATTCAAAAAAATTGTCAGTTTTAACTTTAAAACTAATCAGCAAAATTATAATATCATTTAAAAGTGTTTATATGTATATTTAGAAATAAATATTAAATTACTATTTAACATACTGGTTGAAATTCTAAATGTTTGTAATATTTATTTTTTAACAAAAAAAATTTTAATTAATTTTTAAATTTCTAAATAATACTAAATATTAATCAAGCTTTTATGTTGGTGAAATTAAAGTTAGAACACCCATTTTTATCAATTGGCATAGTATAGCTGAAAAAAGCAACTTTTGATCTAAATTTGTTTTGATCTTGTTACAAAAGAGAATTCAATCTTAAAATTTATTAAATTGTTATGAGGGAAGCATCTCAATTGATGATCAAAACTGCGAAACCACTAGCAAGAATTTTTCTAAAATTTCCAGATCAAAAGCCGCGGTTGAAATAATGTTATTTTCTAATTCTTGACACTGGTTAGTTTTTTGTCCCTGGATCTTGAACCACCTTATCTTGTGTGTTTCAGGGCCGACCGCAGCGTGGCCAGTGAACCCGGTTTTGGGCGCGTTGGTGGTCACCGCCATCCTGCTGTTGCTGATCGTGTTTGCCGTGCTAGTCGCCCTTTACAAACGCCACCAGAAGCCGTCGAGGAACGGGTCTGCGGTGGTGTGCAAGGCGCCTCCACCCTGCAACAACGGCGGCGGCATCGTCATGGAGGCGCGCAGGGTGGAAAACGACGAAAGCGCCGGACAGTTGCTGCCCACGGGGACGCCGGTCGGCGGTGGGGACACCGACACCGACCCCGATGTCATTCCCAGCAAACACGGTAAGACGCATTTGATCTTCTCAACTTTTTGATCTGGTAAACTAAGATTTCCACGAAGCACTTCCGCAAACAAGCTATTAATTATCACTATGGGTTGAGGCTCGGATATCCCTCTGTTGGTTTTATTGAAAAATGCACCAATTTTATTTATCAATCCATGAAAATGGCTCATAGGAATCTGCTCAGGGGGTATTTAGGAAGCTTCTGGTTGAATGTAAACTAAGATTTCCACGAAGCACTTCCACAGACATGGTATTAATTATCATCGGTTTACGGCTCAGATATCCCTATGTTGGTTTTATTCCACTTACAATTATTGAAAAATACACCCTTTATAATTATCTCCCCTTCGCAATGGCACATAGGAATTGGTTAACGGTTTATTTAGGAAGCTACTGTTTGAATTTAAAACGCAGCAACTCTCTGGGGAGATTCTCAAATATTAACTTCTTTTAAGTGGCAAAGTAATTCTAAAATAAAATAAATCCCTCAGAAAAATAAGTAAACTCAGAACTTAAATAATTAAATTTAGGATTAATAAAATAATAATCCAATTTTTATTTTACAAATTGTCATTCCATTTAAATAATGTAAAAAATAAAACACTTTTTTAATAATTCATGGTAGACGTTTTTTATTTAATTTTCCGGACTTTTCATTAGATCTGTTCCATTCTTTTTATGACATTAAAATATATGGGGAACTAAAAACTCAGTGCCATATATTCACGCCATGCTAAAATCTAAAATAAAATTTCCACGCAATGTACACAATTAGATTTATCGGCTTAACATTTACTTACTTAGAATTTCTACTACAAATAAAAAAATTGGAAAATCTTTTTGGCAGTATAATTATGATGCATTACAAATTTGTGACAATAAATAAATTTAAATCTGAAGATTTTCCTTTAAATTTATTCAGAAACAATTAAAAAATTTCACTTTCTTTTTGTTGCTCACATAATTATATTTATATTCCTGGAATGCTTCTTATATAAATTTGATCCCACTCTGTAACAAATTAATTAGAGTGAAGACATAAAGTTTGATGAGTGAAAAATTCATTGTTCATGTTGTCTTAAAAATTGTTTCAATTTTCAAAGTAAAAAACTCTATGAAACCCTTTCAACTTCAAAGCTAATCAAGTTAAAAAAAAAACTAATTTGAAACCTTAATAACATTTTGCAGAACGTCGTCCTTTGAAGGGCTTCATGAAAATGTACAAAACGCCTCCGCAGCGGCGGCGAAAAAAGACAGACAGTCCTCAGGAAATGGTGGCGGCCGAACTGGAGGCGGCCGCGGAGGTGGACGCCGAGTTGAGCATGGCGGCGGCCCACGAGCAGCGGATGCTCGGCGTGGCCTGCAGTGGCACCTCTATTAATCATCTAGCTAATAACGTGAGTAATTTCTTTTCCAATCCCGCGTCCGTCCAAATACCAATTCATTCTTTTCCACTTTTAATTAAAAACGCGAGTCGCGCTTCCGTCGAGTACTCGCGCTTTGATCGGCCAAGCGCGAATCGCCAAGAAGTGCATGTTAATTGCGATCCAATCAATTTGAAAACGTGCAGCTATTCACTTGGAAGATTAAAATTTAATTCGCTCTTTGACCTCTGGGACTTAAAAGCAACACTTTTGTTTGACAACCTTTGCAATTAAAATGTCATTAACAAATTTTTTTGGGATGAGAATCTTGTCCAGAAACAAGATAGTTAAATTTTTTAATTGTTAAAGTTTAAATATACAAAATATATTTATTTTTAATTTATATATTTATTTATTTAATTTTATGTTTTGATTTATGTTTAATATAAATAATTTTCATATAAAATATTTTTTTACAATTTAAATCGTAAAGTTTTTTTTATTGCATGAGGTGAAAATAATTTAATTGTTTTTACTGCTAATATAACAATATTATATATTATTCCACACCCCTCCAGAAATGCAGAATAATTTGCATTGTTAACATTAACTGCAGTTCTTGCATGCAAATACATGAAATGGAAGAAGTCTAAATTAATTAATTGAGGCACAAAATGCCATTGATATTATTAAAAGCATGATAATTTGTCACTTGTAAAATTGAAATTATAGCAGGGTATTAAAACTTTCAAAAATGATTTCATCTGGAAAGTTTAGAAAATCCAAAATTAATAAATACTAATAATAATAGTGCATTATTTCGTGAAAAAAATATTTTTTCTTTGGGAAAGAAGAAAAAAGCTTTAAGTAGAAAGTATTAGTTGCAAGTTGTGTTTTATTGATCTATCACAAAGGCAATTGCTGCCCACAATGAGATAAAGCATTATCAAGGCGTTTTTATTTTTTTTCTTTTTCCGTAGAGCCGAAATATTAAAACATGTTTTTTGTATCTTGAATTTTTAAATCAATGCCAGTTATCAATGATTAATTTGGTGAAAATTTAAAAAAAAAAAATGTAGAACAAAATTTTAAATAGTAAAAATTCTTTGAAAAAGAAAAACAAATTGAATGATTAATTCTTATAAGAAAATATGATTTTTTTAAATTGAAATAGAAGAAAAGCCAAATGAATGCCAATTTGTGCTGGATTTAAAAGGAAATTTCCACCTTCATTGTCATTCCGTTGGTGCTCTCGTTGCGCCAAGCGTACCAGTTTAACTTGCTTTTTGCACGTAGGTTAATTTTTTGTGTGGCGTTTCTGTCCGCAGATTTCATCCACGGGGACGCTGAGCCGAGTGCACAAAGGCGTGAGCGCCAGTCCAACCAGCAGTAACGACGACAGATTGCTCATAGACTCGCTGCACGCGCTAGAATTAGTCGCTTCCTCCCGCATGCAAGAGTCGTGCATTTAAAATAAAAAATAGTAAAAAAAGTAAGTTCGGACGGACAATTGTGTCACGTGTGTGGGTGCACCAATAAGGAAGCCAAAGAATGAAAAAAACTGTTTTACGAGACTGCGTCTGATTCTCGAGCTGTGCGACTAAAGAAGGAAGAAAGGAAAACTAAACAAACTGTTATGTCAAGAGGAATTTCTTCGTATGAAAATTTACCTCCGGTTTATTTTGAGGGCGTGAGAATTTTTTAATCGAGGCCTAAACGCCAACACGTTGTATTTGTGTTCAAACAGAAGTACGAAAACAAGTCCATTTTCTCTTGCCGGGATAAACAAAATAATACAAAAAAAAATGGCGTAAAGTTCATGCCAATGCATCAGTTTGTAAACTTTAAATTAATCAGATGGAAAGTTCAAATGATTCAATTGGTTTTTGGCGGGAAAACTTATAAAAAATCAAGTATTTTTCTCAGATCAAAACAATATTGAGGTTTTTATTTAAAAAATTATTGTAATTCTGGTTAATTCTATTTTGGATACAGAAATGCAGGGTTTGGGCTCTAATAAAATAGTAGCAAAAATTACACATCTTTGATTGTTCTTACAATTAAAATTGTTTCTTCAATAGCTATTTTGTTATAAAAATTTTTAGAAATGCTAAACATTTTTTTCAAGTTTTTTTTTTATATAAAATATCAAATATCTAAGTAACAAAATTACAGGAAATTTTTTTTATTTAATTATTGATTATTGACTTTATTTTTAGGTTCCAAAATATCAGATTATTGTAGATGCCTTCATTTTAAAACTGAATGAAAACCACCCACGAACAGAGTGAATTAATTCCACTTAAATGTGAAAAAGATGGCGACCAGAGTGTTTAATTATTTTACTGTTCTTATATGCATTGAATGTTTTAGAACAAATTATCAAATTAACAATATGGTTAATTGAAAATTTTGGCTCTAGCCACAGGTCTGTATCTCAAATTTATTCAAAGATATATAATTTTAATCTTCAATTGCATTTTGCCAGAAAATCGCTCTCTGTATTCTCAAGTTTTTCCTCCGCCAAAATCAATAAAATTAACTTTCTTTTTTCCACCTGAATTTTTTAAAGTAATCAAACTGATTTTTGACTTGAATTAACGCCGCTGCGTCAAAATTGCATGATGACTGTAGGCATTTTTGTGCAGAGCAGAGATATATTTGTCTCGAGTAGCACAACTTTACTGTTAAAAATTAATTTAATGAATGGAGACGTACTGTACACACTCGCGACTAACAAACCCCCAGACTCTTCTCGTCGGATAAGCCGCTCCTGCTCTTGATGGAGTTTGTTATAATTGTAATGTGCGTTTTGCGGTTCGAATTCGCAAGCGGAAACTCAAACGCAAACTCTCTCTCTCTGTTGGTTCTAATCTATATTTAACAGTTAAATACAACAATACAAACGAGAGCCACGCCGCAATTGTCGGAGGTGCGTAGTCGCGGTGACTACGCGCGGCTGATCACGCGCCAAAGTGTAAATGTGTGATAATTTATTAATAATTAATTAATACATGAAAACGAGACGATATATTAAAAGCATTATTAACTGATTGTAAATTAATGCATGACCCATTCGAGGCAGAAGCGCAGGAGAGGATTCTTACAATTGTACATAACTACCGACGTTTAAAAAAAGAAAGGAAAACCCTCCTATATATCTGTAAGTTATTGATATGTTGTAACAATAAAGAGGAATCATGTTTTCTATATCATCCAGAATTTTATTTCATTGAAAATATTAAAATTATAATGATGAATGAAACTAAAAAAGTCGAATTAAACTATTCTAAATACATTTTATAACACGACTGGTAGAGTCAATTTTTAGTCAGTTTCATCTTGTAATTGTATATGAGTTTTAGGACTATAAATACTATAACACAGTGAAGTGGCTGAAATTAAATTTATTTCAGTCTAGCAATTAGAAGGTTAGCTACGGGCAAAAGGGGCAAAAAGATGTTGTAAATGCGACCTGAAAAATTATAAACAGAATCTCATTTAAATTTCAATTCCTAGTAAAAATTATTTTCCAAAAACCGTTTAAACTAAAATTTTATGAAAAAAAAAAAGCATTGTTAAACTAGTACATGTCATGTATTAAAATTGCTGTGTATGTGACTTTTTTGATGAAACCATTAAATTATTTTGGCCTCTTTCTAAAAATTTGTGAATTTTTCAGAAAAATAATGACATCCCAGATCAATTTCAAACCAAATTCATAAAGAAACATTTCAACAATAAAGTATGAATCAATATTGGTTTCAATGCATTTATTTCAACCAAAATTCTTGGTATAGTGAATTTTTTTTCAATTTTAAAGCCAATTTTTTTAATTCATATCAGTCTTACGATTCCTATTCTGGTTATTTACTGAAATCTTCTTTTTTAATATTCAAGAGAGGAGAATTAATCAGAAACCCACACTTATTGAATTACAAGAGATCGTTTCAGATTAGATGACAGGCCGAGCAAATTGTTAAGAGCTCTCCGTCTTCAATTAATTTGCTCCAGGGATTGTTCCGATGTCTGATTCTGTGCATCTGGCGAAGGAGCCAAGCCAACGTGAGAATGGCACGCTCGTCGCCCACGGTCCCCAGCGAGACCCGTCCATCTGTTCGTGGTGCAGGCAGGTATATCAGAGTGCACGTCCAAGTGCAGCAGTGCATTGCAGATGAGACGTGCACCGTCCCCGGAGGTCCGACAAACACCGCCGCCCGAGCTCCGTAGAATTCTAATCGAGCAGCCTCTTAATTGCTTCCCCAAGGCGTCCTACACACTTATCTAGTCGGCGGTAATGCATTAATTCCACTGCTAAACAAACACAAGGCGTGTTTTGTGCGTGGAATAAGGAAATGAACATGCGCTGAAATTTCAGTGCACTTTGAAAAACATTAATTCTCGGTTAGAGTAAATTTAAATTGAAATTAATGGCACATGGGAGTGACTCAATGTAAAATTGAAACTAAATTTTAAATTGTCATTGGATGAAACTTAAAAAATGTAAAAATTAAAAATTAAAATTGTTGCAAACTTTAAGAGCTATTATGCGTCTCCATTAAGGCAAAATACTTTTCCAGTTTCCCCCTTTCATTCAATTTTCTAACTTTATCTACCAAAACAGGGAAATGCCAAAAAATACTTTGATTGATTTCTGCAGAAATTTCAAGGCCATGGATATGCAAAATTATCCAAGTTAGGCGGTATCGACAAATAAAGAGGGCACAGACCATTTAATCATATTTTTAATTGAATGCACTAAATTAAATAAGGTACTGTTCAAAAAGTTATTAAATATTATTAAAGTGTAATGTTCTTTCTTTAAACTTATAAAGTATAATTTAATATTTTAAAAAAAATATTTTACGACGTAAATTATCAAAAAAAAATTTAATCAATCTGTTTAATTTTGAAAATAATAAATAAATAAATAAAATTTATATATTTAATTTAAATATATTTAATGATAATATTATTAAACCTGTATCTGAATGGAGAATAAATAAATAAATAAACAATAATTGCGGAGATTCATTAGACTTAGCTCTCCCGGGATAAAAGATATCCCAGGATAAATAAAGGGAATAAAATTTAAACCACTGTCCTAGTTTAAATATTTTTTATCCCGCCGTCAATTTTTAGTCTCCAAATCAATGGGGTTAACTTTTCTTAGCCCCTTCAACGGGACAAACATTTGACCCGCGCTAAAATCAAATCAGCTGGTTAATAAAAAACCCTCAACATGTTCGCGAACTTTTTAAACTTTGGCCAATTGCAACGAACAACTTTTTCAAATCAGAATTTTGTGAGGATCATGGAAGTGAGGGCAAAATTGAAACCGAAAGCTTTTCTCATTTGTGGAGAAATTATATTTGCTAAATATTTTAATTACACTTTACAAATAAAAAAGGAAAAAAAATAGTGAATATGAATAAGTAAAAATGTTTATGATTTTCTTTCATCTGAAGTGTTTTCCAAATATTTAAAGACCTATTCATCAAAGTGAAATTGGTCAAATAAATCTTTTTCTTATGACTATCAAATCAAGTATTCAACAGATCCAACAGTTTTGCACCTCCGAAAGAGTTGGATCCAATTTGATCCAACAGTTTTGCACCGACAAAAGAGTTGGATCCAATTTGATCCAACAGTTTTGCACCGACAAAAGAGTTGGATCCAATTTGATTCAACAGTTGTTGGATCCAATTGGATCCAACAGTTTTGCACCGACGAAAGAGTTGGATCCAATTGGATCCAACAGTTTTGCACCGACAAAAGAGTTGGATCCAATTTGATCCAACAGTTTTGCACCGACAAAAGAGTTGGATCCAATTTGATTCAACAGTTGTTGGATCCAATTGGATCCAACAGTTTTGCACCGACGAAAGAGTTGGATCCAATTTGATCCAACAGTTTTGCACCGACAAAAGAGTTGGATCCAATTTGATCCAACAGTTTTGCACCGACAAAAGAGTTGGATCCAATTTGATTCAACAGTTGTTGGATCCAATTGGATCCAACAGTTTTGCACCGACGAAAGAGTTGGATCCAATTGGATCCAATTACAGTTTTGCACCGACGAAAGAGTTGGATCCAACAGTTGCATTGAAGAGTTGCTATATTTCGACGTAAGACGAATGTAGAACTATGTTTCGACATCAAGTCAATGTAGAACTATATTTCGACATCAAGTCAATGTAGAAATATATTTCGACATCAAGTCAATGTAGAACTTTATTTCGACATAAGACGAATGTAGAACTATATTTCGACATCAAGTCAATGTAGAAATATATTTCGACATCAAGTCAATGTAGAACTTTATTTCGACATAAGACGAATGTAGAACTATATTTCGACATCAAGTCAATGTAGAAATATATTTCGACATCAAGTCAATGTAGAACTTTATTTCGACATAAGACGAATGTAGAACTATATTTCGACATCAAGTCAATGTAGAAATATATTTCGACATCAAGTCAATGTAGATATATATTTTGACATCAAGTCAATGTAGAAATATATTTCGACATCAAGTCAATGTAGAACTATATTTCAACATAAGGCGAATATATGTAGAACTATATTTCGACATCAAGTCAATGTAGAACTATATTTCAACATAAGGCGAATATATGTAGAACTATATTTCGACATCAAGTCAATGTAGAACTATATTTCGACATCAAGTCAATGTAGAACTATATTTCGACATAAGACGAATGTAGAACTATATTTCGACATCAAGTCAATGTAGAAATATATTTCGACATCAAGTCAATGTAGAACTATATTTCAACATAAGGCGAATATATGTAGAACTATATTTCGACATCAAGTCAATGTAGAACTATATTTCAACATAAGGCGAATATATGTAGAACTATATTTCGACATCAAGTCAATGTAGAACTATATTTCGACATCAAGTCAATGTAGAACTATATTTCGACATAAGACGAATGTAGAACTATATTTCGACATCAAGTCAATGTAGAAATATATTTCGACATCAAGTCAATGTAGAACTATATTTCAACATAAGGCGAATATATGTAGAACTATATTTCGACATCAAGTCAATGTAGAACTATATTTCGACATCAAGTCAATGTAGAACTATATTTCGACATAAGACGAATGTAGAACTATATTTCGACATCAAGTCAATGTAGAAATATATTTCGACATCAAGTCAATGTAGAACTATATTTCAACATAAGGCGAATATATGTAGAACTATATTTCGACATCAAGTCAATGTAGAACTATATTTCGACATCAAGTCAATGTAGAAATATATTTCGACATCAAGTCAATGTAGAAATATATTTCGACATCATGTCAATGTAGAACTATATTTCGACATCAAGTCAATGTAGAACTATATTTTGACATAAGACGAATGTAGAACTATATTTCGACATCAAGTCAATGTAGAAATATATTTCGACATCATGTCAATGTAGAACTATATTTCAACATAAGGCGAATGTAGAACTAAATTTCAACATAAGACGAATGTAGAACTATATTTCGACATCAAGTCAATGTAGAACTATATTTCGACATAAGGCGAATGTAGAACTAAATTTCAACATAAGACGAATGTAGAACTATTTTTCAACATAAGCCAAATGTAGAAATACTTTTCAACTTCAGCCACATTTCGAATGATATAATTAAATCGATTCGGTACAATTGAATTATGATCAAATGCAAATGCACGTGTATTGTTAAGTTAACAATTGAATATCTTTTAAATTTTAGCTAAGAACGCTTTATATGGATTGTTTTTGTACTAAAATGTTTTTTATTAATTTTCAATGAAATACTTTACTCAGTTTCAAAATTAGCTCAAAAAGATATTTGAATATCAATTCTATCGCTTTCTTGACTAGTTTTTCATGATCACACTAAGGAAGATTTGAATTTGAGCGCGAAGTCAACTCAATGCGCCCAATTGATGTGGGATTCGGAATATCGCATCCATGATCCTCACAAAATTCTGATTTGAAAAAGTTTTTTCCGTTAATGAATATTAGTACAGAAATCAAAATATTAATCATAAAGTATATTTTATTATACCAACTAAATGAACAAAATGAACACAATTCAAAATTTATATTTTCATAAAATACATGCTGGACTATCTCAAAAAACGGAAATTCTCAAA